TAGTTTTTTTATTAATAGAACAAATTGACATAGTACTAACGATTTTTTTATATAGTTTTTTTTTAGTTTTTTTTTTATATAGTTTTCCATGAATTTAACAAATTTCTTTCTAAAACTGTTATTTATTTATTTATTTATTTTATAAAATCTAACGATGTGGATCAAAATTTATTGATAAACAAAAACTTGAGTAACTAAATTGATTTAATTGGAACATCATGTACTAAATGCGGAAATATATAGATAGTTGGGGTATAAGAAAATTCTCAAATTTTTTTGTTATCTTAACACATTTTATTACAGTTTGTTTGAATTTATCATGTAATTTAGATCGTATTTTAACACTTGAATATATTATTTCTTACTTGTCTGGTTTTATAATTTATAATGTAATCTTATTAATTAACTATTATTTTCTATACATATACTTACAATTTCTTTATTTGTGAAATATTCTTTTATTTAAATAAGTACCATATTATTATCTAGTATCTTCATATTTTTAGGAAGACTTTAAATATAAATTATTATTTAACATACATCATAAATAATTCACCGTGATTCAAGATATCATGTACATGTAAAAAGAAATTTACTTTTGTATTAATGAGAAATCAAAAGAGACAAAACATTTTAAAATGCCTATCTATAAATGGTAATAACAAATATAGGTTCACTTTTACTATTAACCTATTATTAAAAATGAAAAAAAAAATTATTAACGGAGGTTGAAGCACGTTTAATAAAATAATAAAAAATTGAAACTAACTTTCCATAAATAGTAATATGATGAGTGACCCACTAAAATACTTACTATTTTTAGTAAGTGTGTTGCCTAATTATATAGTAATAGATTATTTATCTAAGTATTTTAATATCACTTGTACTAATATAACCCTTTAATTATTTGTAATCTTATATAGTGAGGCACTAAGTTACTAATATATGACTAACTTTGATTTGTTTCCTTCAGTTAGTTGTTAAATTGTAAATGTATTTTAAAAGTTGATAACTTTAATATTTTTTATCGGTTTTACATATATCATATATCAAATTGATCATTTTTTAATGATCTTCGATTTGACATCCATATTGTATATATGAAATAAATAAATTATATTTATCTTTATAATAATAAAGAATAATAATATTTATTAAAATTTATTATAAAAATAAAATTATTTATCAATTGATATATTTATTTTTAATGTAGAAATATGTTGTAAGTTAAAAAATTATTATAATTTGACATAGATAAATCGCACAAATAAAAAGTGTCATACTAAATATATACTAATATATATATATATATTTGTAAAAATTATTTAAAATTCCAACTACTTTTCTCATTAATTTTAGATTTTAAGAAAAAAATTAGCAAGCACTCGTGTAATACAGAGGTGTTGTACTAGTTTTTTTAAAAATAATTAATTAATTACCCAAAAATTTAATTAATTAATTATTTTTAAACTTTAATTGGTATAATGTCAATTTAATAAACATAATTAATTAAATATTTAAGTTCTAAAAGTTAATATGAAAATTAAAAACTGTGAAGCAAGACCTGATACGACACTTGATCCATTAATCATCTAATTATGGAAAAAGTTAATTATTTTTACTTAATATTCAACAAAACATCTTATACATTAATGCATATACACATCAACATATTATTTCTATTTTTTTATACACTTGAATTTGATCAGAACTATGTCTTATCAAAGTATACTAGTACAACACCCGTGTAATACACGGGTGCTTGCTAATTTTTTTCTTAAAATCTAAAATTAATGAGAAAAAGTAGTTGAACTTTTAAATACTTTTTACAAAAATATATATATTATTATATATTTTGTATGACATGCACTTTTTATTTTTGAGGCTTACATATGTCATATTATAATAATTTTTAACTTACAACATATAACTACATTAAAAATAAATATATCAATTGATAAAGAATTTTATTTTTCTAATAAAATTTAATAAATATTATTATTCTTTATTATTATAAAGATAAATATAATATAATATTTCATATATACAATATGGATGTCAAATCGAAGATCATCAAAAGATGATTAATTTGATATATAATATATGTAAAACCGATAAGAAATACAAAAGTTGTCAACTTTTAAAATACATTTACAATTTAATAGTTAATTGAAGGAGACAAATCAAAGTCAGTGATATATTAGTCACTTAGTGTCTCAATATTTAAAATTACAAATAATTATAGGATTATATTAGTACAAATGATAGTAAAATACCTAAGTTAGATAAATAATATGTATGGAATGTCCGAACCTAGATTATTAATTATTAATATATCAATATTATTTGTCCAAACCTAATTACGAAGCATGATTCTTTGCCAAATAGGATTATTAAGCACCAGAAACAGCCACGTAGGCTCAGCGCATTCGGGAATTATATATAGGGAGGATTATGAGAATTATAAACAGATTTGTGTCCATTAGATCTTATGCCACCTCTTCAATTATTATTCTTTTTGTAGTATTTTCCTATCTATACTTACTAGTAGTCTTACGGCCGTGCACGCACGGCCGACTCAATTTCAGTCTAAAACCTACTGATAATTTGTCATCCCAAGAACATAACATATTTCATATTTTGCGCAATGGTATGTGCGAAATACAGGTTATTCACAAAGATGATCGCCTATTTCAAATGGCCTTTAAAACTTCCAGACAAATGATCGCTCGTGAAATTCACAGTCCCAAAAGCAGCATGTAAACAATTTTTTTTTTCACTCATAGCCAGATGACATAAAAAAATTTAAGCGAGAGTACATTTTTTAGGTCAATTAACCAAAATAATATCAAGTTTAATGGAAACAGAAATTCATAAGCAACTACTATGTTGATACAACAAAAAATAAATAAAGCTTCATTTTGTTTGTGCATGTTGTCAAAGAATTGCAAAAGGTAACTTTTTATTGACGTAAAAGCTAAAAAAATGATGAAGAAGATAAGAGTTGCTACCGCCACAAAGTCCACAAATGTGATTCGCGAACAATCGTGATCATCTCCTAACAGCCTGAAGTGATATACCTTAATGAATAACTATTTAGGAAAACACTACTCAGAATCAGTTGGACAAAACATGAGGCCATAAGAAATTTTAATTACAAAACCACAAACCTCCCACAAAGACTTTCAAAATAGTGCTTAATTTTTGTTTGAGAAACCTAAAAACATAAAATATATAAAAAAAATGGAAATCGCATTTTCAGACTCTTGTTTTCTTTGTTTCTGTCACATGGATTGAGCCAGATGGTATAACAACTGTATATTTGTTTGTTTCTAGACATTGCAAGTAGATTTAAAGTCAGTTTTAATTGATTCAGAACTGCAAGGACAACATACCAAATTATGTTGAGCTTTCTGAACAAAGGTTGATATCTCTGTTTGGTCAAAGTTCTCGACACCAGGAACAATGAAAGTAATTTGTTGTGGCTTAATATATGTCGTGTTTCCATTCTGCATAATCAGAAAAACCAGAAAGTACAACTGAGTGACCAGAACCTTACAGTGCTTAAAATGCAAACATAAGACGTTACCTGATCTGTAACTACCCAATTCGTCTTGCCATCTGGTTTCTCAACAACAGCCAGCAGCAACCTCTTCAGTGTCTACTTTCCAAACTTTCAAGAATCTCTTCATTGCTTTTCATTTCTAATCTGAAAAGGGAAACAAAAAAAAAAATCATATATTGCTATTTTACATCCAATTAGGATAATATCAAATATATATGACTAATCTAACATTTGAGTTATTAGGATCGTCACTTTGCCAAGTAGCTCGCCAGCATTTTTATCTCAAATTTATAAATTTGGATACATTTCAACAGCCTTAGTGACAAGTACTTATATATTACAATTATCCACTGTAAAGAGTCTCACCACACAATTTTTATATAACACCCTCAGTCTTACGCTTTAAAGATACCTGACAATGTATGGTCCTCTTATTTTTTCAGCACCTTCTTACTACAAACGTAAGCATCTGTTTATGAGCAATCTAGGAATGAATATGTAGGATACCTATAATTGACTGCTTGGACCAACAACACACTTCAGACAATTTCTGGAGATTCTGTACAATGGATGTCTCGGGAGTGTTGGTCTATTCAAATACTCGTACTACTTTCGCTTACAATACTTTTTGCCCAAACAAGTGGTTGCTTAGAAATTACATAAAAGATTCACAATTC